TACTGTGACTCAGAATAATCACATCCTTGTGATTAGCCTCCTTGACTAAACATATCACTCAAGTAGTGTTGTCACGGTACCAAAATTTCAGTATTCGGTACCAATACCAGTGAAAATCCACGGTTCTCGGTACCAATTTCGGTACCAAAGCAAAACACAAAAACATGCTAATTGAACAACATTTTTATTAATAACGTTAAACAAAAATTAAATGTACAAAACCAATGCCATTCTTTATACTTATTTAAAATTGTTTCAAGTTTTTCCACAAGTAATAAAAGTAGTTAAACCTAGATAAATGTGCGCTATATCCAATAGTTTGTGCGGAGAGTGGAAGCTAAAGCGCGCTTTGCAGGACAGAGGCGCCAGCACGATCACTTTTTTTCAGTGGATACGCCGTCATTGTTACTCATAAAGATAAGAGAGTAATACATCATTCGTAACTGTAAAGGGTCTACTTTTATTTGTGTGCACTCACAATTTCAACAAAACGTGCTTTTATAAAATAAAGAAAACAAACACGATGCGCTTTGTCGTTAAATATAAGTTTTTGTTTTTTAAAGTAACGACCAAGCGGCCAGAGGCAGACAGTGAGCCTATGTTTGATCAATTTAGCCTTCTCAAATCATCACTACTTGTCTAAAATAAAATCTATAGATATAAAACAGTTCAAGCATTATAACAGTTTTAACGTTAAACCTAGATAAATGTGCGCTATATCCAATAGTTTGTGCGGAGAGTGGAAGCTAAAGCGCGCTTTGCAGGACAGAGGCGCCAGCACGATCACTTTTTTTCAGTGGATACGCCGTCATTGTTACTCATAAAGATAAGAGAGTAATACATCATTCGTAACTGTAAAGGGTCTACTTTTATTTGGGATGTCTAAAATATTAAAATAAGGAGAAGCCTAAAACAAGACCGATGCCCGGCCCGCGTCTGAACTATGATGTGAAAATTGTCCCGAAGCCCGGCCCTAGAGGCGTAATAAAGTCGGGGCCCGTTGGGCCCAGGCTGAAATGCAGGGCTCTAGTTCAGGCAAAAGGAAGCGTGCATTTGAACGCAGAACTCTTCGGTTGCGCTGACGGCACGCATGCTGCTGCTGCGGGACACTAAACACCGTCGAGCCGCTCTTGACAGTCACGGCAGCACGGTCTCGTGTTGTTTCCACCAGCGCGGCAAAAAAAAATAATTTTCATCACTAATTGATGGATGTCTAAAATATTAAAATAAGGAGAAGCCTAAAACAAGAAATGTGGCAAAACATCTCTGGAGTGAACCTCAGATTATTAAATTCGAAAGTGCTTTCCATATTTGGATCAACATATAGGCTACATTTGTGAACGCACATTTTCGGCAATGTCGCGCGTCGACATGCTTCCATGCGCGTCTTACAGACTGCAACTTACAATCGCGACTTCATTGTGCTCTTACTCCTTTCGAGCCGATTTCCATTGATGCATGGTTTGTTAGGATAGGACAATATTTGGCCGAGATACAACCATTTAAAAAATCTGGAATCTGAGGGCGCAAAAAAATCAAAATATTGAGAAAATCGCCTTTAAAGCTGTCCAAATGAAGTTCTTAGCAATGCATAGTACTAATCAAAAATTAAGTTTTAATATATTTACAGTAGGAAATTTACAAATGATCTTCATGGAACATGATCTTTACTTAATGTTCTAATGATTTTTGGCATAAAAGAAAAAAACAATAATTTTGACCCATATAATGTATTTTTGGCTATTGCTACAAATATACCCCAGCGACTTAAGACTGGTTTTGTGGTCCAGGGTCACATTGCAGGCAAATGTGGCCCAAATCTGATTTTTTTTGCTCACATGTGACTCAGATCTGTTTTTGTCATGACAGTGTGAACAGCACAAACCGCATGGAATCTAATCTTTTGAATTCTGATTTGTGCCACTTCCATATGTGGTACTAAATCTGATCCATGTCAAATGTTTTGCAATGCGACTGCAGTGTGAACGGTCATGTCGGGTTTCATGCGGTTTTTACGTCACTCTAGATCAACATTCGTCATAATTCTGCGCTTACGGGAGACACTTCAAAGATTTTACATACCCAAAGTTATCAAGACAGTAACGAAAGGGAATCAGTGGAAGTACAGTGTGTCAGAACTCATGTGTATTACAGTGACAACTCTACAAGCAAAACACGAGGCTCGTATCATAAAAGTGTCAAAACTCTGCTTTCTTTTGTCACATCCTTGTCTTTATTTTTTCATATTGCCTGTGCATAATTTCGCTGGCTTCTGCAGCAGATCACACTATAAATAAGTGCATAATCGCTTACTTTATCCTCCGTGTTTACTTCCGTATGACGGCGAGCTACGCAAGTGTTGCCAAATCCACATTTTCCCCGCGGAATTGGGCTACTTTTTCATCTGTTGCTGTTTTTCATGTTTTTCAACTTCGTGGGTTGACGTGACCCCACTAACGCGATGTTTACCTCCCTGAACATGATTGGGCTAGTTTTGGACTAGTTTTGAGAAAGAATTGGGCAGATTTTGTTGTGAAAATCTGGAAACCCTGTTCGTATCGTTCTTTTGCACATGCGGGTCAGTTCAGAACCATGATCTGTTCACACTGGAAATCTGATATTGGCCACATTTAAAACAACAACGTGAACAGCTATACAAAAAAAAATCGGAATTGAGCACTAAGGCTCGTAGTGTGCACGTAGCCATATTGCCTTGCTATGGTGAAACCATTTGAAATTTCAAAAATCTGTTCAGCATTGAGTTTATGATCACATGAATCTCCTTGGAAGAGAGCTTAAAGGTTTACTACATGCACTTTCACAACTGCACGCTTTCAGTGTTTGGGCCCTAATTACATGAAATTTCAGTCCTAAGCCCGGGTCAGTTCAGAACCATGATCTGTTCACACTGGAAATCTGATATTGGCCACATTTAAAACAACAACGTGAACAGCTATACAAAAAAAAATCGGAATTGAGCACTAAGGCTCGTAGTGTGCACGTAGCCATATTGCCTTGCTATGGTGAAACCATTTGAAATTTCAAAAATCTGTTCAGCATTGAGTTTATGATCACATGAATCTCCTTGGAAGAGAGCTTAAAGGTTTACTACATGCACTTTCACAACTGCACGCTTTCAGTGTTTGGGCCCTAATTACATGAAATTTCAGTCCTAAGCCAAGTTTAGTCATATTTTCCCCCAAATATAAAAATTTTTCATACATGTCATCCACTCCTAAAGCAAAACATATTAAACTTACAATAAACAATACAGCAACATAATCTCTGCTAATTAAAAAGAAAGTGGAAATAAAAAAAAACAATTGTAATGATAATATACACTATATAGCCAAAAGTTTGTAGACACCCCCCCCCTTAAGTAATGGATTTGCCATTTCAGTAACTGCTGTGAAGTAAAAGTTGTGCTATACTGATAATAGATCTTGAAGATACCAAAAGCTCAAACTGGAAAATCTAGCTGATAACATTGATTTGCCAATAGTTTTCAAAATCAATAATATGAATGAAAACTTTCCACTTAATGTAAAAAGTGTTATATTTTATTAGAAAATTAACAATAAAGATGAGTGTGGGGGGGGGGGGGGGGGGCGGTTAACCAATACGATAACACTTTAGATTAGGGAACATTATTCACTATTATCTACATACTGTTTGCGAAATAAAAACAAGCACAATGATTTCAGTTTGTTATATTTGCATAATGTCGAATCCATTGGAAATTAATGTAATAGAGCCTGTTTGCCTAAAGCTTCTAATGAAAGCAGTGAGGCTGATCACACAGGAAGAAGCTCAAACCATAAATGAATCTATAAATCCATAATATTCTTAATGTATTTATATATTCATATAACATGACACAACAGCTAAATTTAAAAGGGAATTCCACCAAATGCTTATAAATTTTAGTCTGTTTGTTGCAAAACAACGCACTGACAGACACGAGACAGCAAAGCCTGCGCTGTGCATTAGTGGAAGTTGACTGTCTATTTGATGCTTTGTTTTCTTCCCCAAAAAAGATCATCCATATGCTTTGTTAAAACTTAGTTTAACCATAACACAAATGCATACTGCACCAGTGAGGTGAACAGTATGTTTTTTTGTTGTTGTTTTTATAAGGAGAACCCTCATTAAGTACTGACCCACTTTTTATTTTATTGTCATATGAAATATAAATTATGTCCAAGAAAAGGAAGAGAAGTCTTGAGTCTTATCTTTTTAAATGGCATTTTCAAATGGCATGGTGTATATTATATATCCATGTGCTATCAGATGAACGTTGTGAGTACTGTTTCTGGGTCCAAGCCCCTAGTGCATTTAAGTGAGAATACGATCACAACAGCTGTTGATGAGCGCACTTCATTTATAGCACACATTTTAAAAACTCAAGAGTGTACAATACAGTCTCCAAGCTCACAGAGTCTTGGGCACCAATAATAACAATTCAGAAACAATAAATCACTGTCTGGCCAACTTGAATTTGGCTATTGAGCATTTAAGAAGTGCTACAGCACACTGTGAGTGTGAATATACAGTATATGAGTCTACCCTTTGTCTTGAACGAACTCCCTAAACCAGTGCTTCTGAAACCTGCCCTGAGGACCCCCACCACTGCACATTGTGTATTTCTACCTCATCTAACACAACTAGATTTCTATTTGGTGTGTTCCACGAGAGAGACATACAATATGTGCAGTGGTTGGGGATCTCCAGGACAGGGTTGAGAAGACCATTAGCAACTGAAACAAAGAAAACACAACAGCCCCCTACTGATCATGTCTTTTTTCACTGCCTAATGTTGTTTGATACAGCATGATCTGTTTCTCTTCAAAACATATCCACAATGACTGCATCTGTAGAAAAGAAACCACCCAAAACACCCTAACCTCATTCTGGCATATTTTGCACAGGCAAAACCACTCACAGGTTTTTCGCCAGATGCAAAAATAGTTAAATTTAAAATATGGCCTCTTTTTCTCCAGGTGTTTCTCATCCTGTGGCACTGGTTCCTCTGACAGAGGAGAATGAGGATGCCATGGAGAACAAGACTTTCCAAAAACTTCTACACACAGTCGGTATCCGTGCACCCACAGACGGACAGGTTTGGTTTGAGCTTCAGAAGCTTCCGTATTCCTATAATAGTGATTATTTGAAGACACTATAAGCTATCATCTCATCCAATGTATCATTCATCAGGAATCTTTCTGGAGAATTTCTTCCAGTCTGAGCGTGCATCAGCTGAGGTCAGTAGCAGCATCTCTTGACTTGGTTGAGGAGACTGCAACTGAAGGGGACTCTGAGGGAAACAAGGAGAACAGTCTGACTGTTGAGATGGAGGATAATGATAATCAAGAGATGAGAGCTCAAGCACTGAGAGCTTTGCTGTTGTCACGCCAGAGGAAATGTGCCTCTTCTAAATCAAAGGGTAAGTATGCGACATATTTGGTGATGCCAATGTTGATCATTTTATTAGAGGCCAAGCACTGGAGGTGTAAATGCAATTATCTATTAGTTTGTTCTTTGTCTTTGTCACTCTTAAAGTCTGTGGCAGCCCATAGAAGTTATATATGTTAGCATATTACAGATAGAGGACAGTCTGAGCTTGTACAATAGCAAATCCTTATAAACCCTCTAATGCCACAAAGGATTTTTTTTTCCTTCTGATTTCTTAGTTCATGCCAAGTCGAATGCACTAATATGGTTTCAGTTTCTACCATATAGAAATTTCACTACTGTTTTTGAATTTTCTAAAATCATCACCGGAATGCTATTTTTTTTAATTAAATGTTATGGCATTGGTGTGCTTGGCCTCATAATTGCTGCTTGTAGCTATATTATTGAAAATATATTTGACCATGTGAACTATTTTAACTACGTACTTATTTGGTAATTACCAATTAAGCAATTTAAGTTTTTTCTGTCTTTTATAAGATTCTCCTTCATGTGAGGGCAGTTCTGATACTGTGGAACAAAGGTTAGTACCAGTATTGATGTACTTCTTTAGTGACCAAAATTTCTGAAGGTTCAAGCTAAACATGACTTTCTTCACAATTCTACTAAATGTGATTTTGATTATTTGGGTTTCAGTGATCATATAGAGGAGAAAATATCAAAGAAGAGAAGAAGAGTGTTGGATGATGATGATGATCAGAGAGGTAATGAACAATATCTTAAAAGCTCATCTAGAATTTTAGAACTTCTGTTACCACTTCCATCTATTGACGTGGTTCAGCACGATAGTCTCTGAGATTCATGTAAATGACACTTGATAATAGTGAGTAGAGACCAGTAGAGGTTAAACACCATGCAAACCATGCGTGGGTTGGTTTTAACTCAATTGATGACTCAGTTTGACCTCATTTACTACCGGTCTGAATAAGTGGAAAGAAAACCACGAAGTGCACATATCCAAGCAGCGCTCAAAAAAAGAAAACGTGAGAGAGGAAATGCAATACTTGAAAGTTTTGCAAAGCTTAAAACTTTTTATTTGCCTCAGTTTAAACGGCAGTGTGAATGGTCACCTTTTCTAATTTGCTACTGTTTATTGTATGAAATAAACGGGAATGAACTTCATAAGGTATGTTGAAAGATTCTGTACAAATGATTGAAATGTATCGTGCTTCATGTGAGTGTTCAATCAACCATGGAAAGACAATAAAGCAGCTTATGAACATGTAACGCTGCATTTGCCTCAGGAAAGTCATTCAGTGTCCATAGATCACTAGTTTGCAAGTGAAATATACTCTTCACTTAAAAGAGCGAGAAAAAAAGTGCATTGTGCAAATACGCAAACTACAAGCAGTGGCGGATCCTGGAATTGAAAATATAGGCAGCCACACACCGCTTTCAGACACAACTGTCTTCTTTTCTTTATAGTTAATTTGAGACAGTTTATTTTCAAGAAAAATGTAGAGAGCACATTTTTGAAAGGCAAGAGCGCATCCATGTAATGTGTGAGTGTGAATCTTTCCACTTGCTGGCGGATTTCTTTCGCTCTCATACAAAAACTGGACGTGCATTCTCATATATAGTTTCCTCTGTCACTAACAGTTATTTTGGTAATCGAGTAATCAGTCGATTATTCTGACGATTGAGTAATTTGATTGTTTTTTTGGTGGTAATAAAAATAGACTTTAAAATGACTTAAAATACATATATAATGGCACTGAGGAAATAACAATTGGTTCAAATAAAATATCAAAAGCAAGAGATTATATCGTTTTATTGAAAAAACTGTTAAAATACATAATGTAATAAAATAATATAATCATAGCTCATGTACATTATGTATTACATCAATTGTCTGCAGAGGGCGCCAATGGCCTGACGATTGTTTTTACACTTTACAGCGTGATCTAATCCTTGTTTAATATTGCCTAAACATTTTATTCAAATGTCCACTTAATCTTTACTATCTGGCCACTTTATGATAGAAATGCTACAGCCACTGTCATTTCTTGAACAAAAACATGTGGACATCAAAACATGCAAACTCAGAAAGAAGATTTAAACTTTTATTTTGAAGTTGCGATGCACGAGCGTATTTAGAAAGATAATGTATTCTTCTGTGTTGGTGCAGGTTTATAAATGATTTACCTTTTAAATCTGATAGAATGGTGCACATTGTTCCCAGCTGAACGTTATAAGCCACTCAGACTCACAGCATATGCAAAGATGGAGTTTGAGATGGTCCGCGTATGTAAATAATAGGGCTGCACGATATATCGAAATATTGCAAATGTAAATATCGCAATATGCATATCGCAACGGCGTGCGATATCATTATCATTTTAATAATAGGCTACTTAAATCAAAACGTTGCAAAAGGTCAAAGTTTTAGTTCGACGCATATAACAGAGAATTGCTTAACGTTAAAAAGAATTAAGTGCAATAAGTTGCAGAAAACAACTCTTTGCCGTCTCGTCTTGCTGTCTGACTCACACCTGAAGCGCGCGAACAAGCTGCATCGCGCACAGCGTATCTTCAGTTCTGCCGCACACGTGCAAAGCACAGAGAGACGCGCAATATGCATATCGCAAGGGCGTGCGATATTTGAATCATTTTAATAATAGGCTACTTAAATCAAAACGTTGCAAAAGGTCAAAGTTTTAGTTCGACGCATATAGCAGAGAATTGCTTGACGTTAAAAAGAGTTAAGTGCAATAAGTTGCAGAAAACAACTCTTTGCCGTCTCGTCTTGCTGTCTGACTCACACCTGAAGCGCGCGAACAAGCTGCATCGCGCACAGCGTATCTTCAGTTCTGCCGCACACGTGCAAAGCACAGAGAGACGCGTTTCAGACCGAGTTGATTCGTCTTTCGCATCTCCTCCTTATGTTTGAACAGACGCATACACACAGAATTATGTCAATAGTACCCGTCTCGATGATCATTCTCGTAAACGCAGTCGGTTATGTTTTAAATGAATGTAAACACCTGAGAAAAAATCGGATGTGTATCATTATACTGGATCCGTGCAGTCGGATTTAAAGGGACAGCAGCCTATAAATGCGTGCTGCTGAATATGTCACTAATGTTAACAAAACCTCAAAATGGCTATAACAAAGATTAATCTAAATTTAATTCATACAGTCACTTTAAGCAATATCGTATCGCATATCGAATATCGCATTTTTTAACAAGGTATCGCATATCGCATTTTTCTTCAATATCGCACAGCCCTAGTAAATAACTGTTTGTGTGGAGCAGCATTTACTGTGAACGGAGTCACTCTGAAATGCACCTAACCTACATGCATATAAAGTGCATATTAAACCCGCAGAGCATACATTTATTTTATTGAATCACACTCTGCTTTATTTTGATTTTTAAATGGTTTTAATATTTGTGCAGCCTTAGAAAACGGTCTAATCATGCTTTTCATGGATTCTCATGGTTAATTGACACGGGCAAAATGCAGTTAAGTATTTTTCATAATAGAGTACTCAAATTTAATTGAGGGATCAAGACAGTCCTTATGTCTAATTTTGCTTATCAGAATTAGCTTTATTCACCACGTGTGTGCAAACACAAGGAATTTGTTGTGGTTTTTAAGAAGCTCTTGGTACATACATGCATGCATACATACATACAATACATATGTACATACATATCTGACATGAGAACAGAAACATTTAAATAAGACTTAACAATAAATAACATACATATATATATATATATATATATATATATATATATATATATATATACATACATGCATACATACATATGTACATACATATCTGACATGAGAACAGAAACATTTAAATAAGACTTAACAATAAATAATAATGTGTATGAATCTGGAACAGAAGATTTATGTACAGATTTGTGCATTATTTACTCTATATATACAGCTGTATAAAAATATGCATATGTATTTACATAGTACTTGAGATAGAGGCAATAATTAGAGCTGGAGAATGAATTACAGAACACAGGTAATGATTCATGTGTTAGCTGTTAAGGCTGGAGATGGCATGGGGGAAAAATGTTTTTATGTCTAAATGTTCTAGTGCACAGAGATCTGTAGTGTCTGCCTGAGGGGAGAACTGCAAACAGGTTGTGTCCGGGGGTGAGAGGGGTCTTTGATGATGTTACCTGCCCGTTTCTTCACTCTGGAGTTGTACAAGTCCTGAAGATTGGGCAGGTGGACACCAATGATCCTTTCTGCTGTCCTAACAGTCTGCTGCAGTCTTCTTATATTTAATTTGCTGGCTGACCCAAACCAGACAGTTATAGAGGAGCACAGAACCGACTCAATAACAGCTGAGTAAAACTGTGTCATATGCGCCTGTGGCAGGTTGAACTTTTTCAGTTGATGAAGGAAGTACACCAAATAAGCCAGAACCGCCACTGACTAAAAGGCTGATGTTAGATGTAAATATTTTTCTACTGTTTTTGTAAAAAATTTTCTGTATATGTTTTTCAAAGTAAAGTAAATAGATTTTAAATCTCACTCAATTCTATTCAATACTGCTGTGCAGTTTGTAGTAATATGTTACAAAGGTAATTTTCGGGTGGAGCATGTGGGGCCTTGGGTCTTGATTTGGACCAACAAAATGGTAAACCAGCTGCTGGTACAGAAAGCCAAGAAATAACTTGGTCATTACTACTAGGATTTTCTCCTTGTGTGTGCTCTATCAATTCCGGTCTTTGTCGATCATTCTGTCTTCTGGCTTCAGACTTTTTTGGCTTCTACTGTATAGGTACTGATTCTCCCATTGTTTTAGCTGGAAAAGCATGATGATAAGTGTGATCCATTGTCAGTTTTTTGCTCTTTGCATCACCAAAAAACACTTTGCTTCTAGCATAAATACAGAGGTGACAGCTAATGTGCTTTACCAGCAGAGACAATGAGAGAATCTGTACAGCCATAGAAGCTGAAAAGATCTGAAGGCAGAATACAGAAAGACTGACATCCTTGTTGAAGGTAGACAGCATACAAATATTGTTTAACCACAAAACTACATCAACACCAAGGGTATTTACACTAACTCTGCCCACCAAATTGAGCTTTATTTTTTATATTATGCTATATATTATATTTACTGTTTATTGCTGGCCCAACCAGAAAAAAATGTCATAAGAAAACCAGTCCAGTGGAGTAGTCTGGCAGAGTGGCGTGGAGAATAAATCTTGATTTGCAAAGTAGATATTTGTTTGCTTTGTCTTTGTGATATGGGGTGTAGATTTGAATGAATGAAGAGGCATTTGTTTATGGGTTTGGAATGACATGACGGTGACTAAATAATTACAGAATAGTTTTGGGTGAAATAAGTTTTTGTGTGACAGTCAGGATGTGGCAGACTTGGATGTTACCAGTTGGTGTTATCTTTACAATTGTCGTTTGCACCTGCCTAATTTCAAACTGCTTTAAGGACAAAGGAGTATCAGTTTAGTATAATCCGAGAGTCGCTGATGCCAAAGAATTATGGCTCAAAGAGGAAAGTTTATTTTCTGTGTGTTGAGTGCAGGGCTTTTATGCTAGTAAGCCTATAGTGCCTGTTCACTTGATATCCTACAATGGAAAAAAATATAGTAACTGGATTGGACATTTTTTGATTTTAATACTTTTAAACAATTTAAGATGAGTCATTTAAGGTCTTTGTGAAATTTTAAGAAGTAGTTGATAATGTAGATGTGTTTATATTAGATATATTATGTAACTGTAGATATGTTTTATAATCAGTGTGTGATGCTGAAGGATATTGATTAAAGTGCTGTGAATTCCTAAATTTATCTAGAAGACTTTCTTTTCTTTTCTCTTCCACAGATATTTCAGATGTGGATCCTTTATCCAGGAATAACTTTGAAAGAAGCATCGATTCAGACCACGAGAGTCCTGCTGCCCCAGCTAAGCGCAGATATAAGAGAGTGTTAAGTGATGAAGAGGAAGATAACTAGAAATATTAATACAGCGCAATAC